AAGGATCATTGGTGGATCATACTAGAAGTGAAGTAGATACATATATATTTATTATAATAGATAATAATAGATAGCATTTTCAATATTACAATAAGAGTAGAAAATCCTAAATTGAACAATTTTATTCAGATAACAATAAATCAGTTGAAATAAATAATAATATTCCAGCAATATAGACAAACAAGAGTATAAAATTCATATGGTAGTTTACATACTGAAAACATTTAAATTTAAAAACAAGAATAAACTCCGAAAAAAAGGATATTAAGTACAAGAGGAAACAGTTTTGTGTTTGTCTTCCCCGCGCGTGCGCGCATGTGGTATGATAGAGGAAGAAAAGTGGGGATACTGCACGAGTGAGAGAGTATCAAGCGAAATACAGTAGTGTCGAGCGAGACAAAGAGGAAGATTCGTTTGAAAGCAAGAGAGGGAAATACTAATAGGAATTATGAGTGACAGAGATCGAACATTCGAAGCTGACGTCATAAGCTGCAGCTTCAAGGAGGTTTAAACGAGAGTACCAGTTCGTTCTTCGTACCCATACCTTGCGCTCCCGATAATAACCAACGCCGATAGTTCATATCTTCCTATCCCATGACAGTTGCTTATAAACCGTTGCATAGAATGGATCGGTGTTTCCTCTTCAATAATATGCAAATACATTAAGTAATTCATAATACATAATAATTGTATAGATAATTAAAAGAAAATAAGAAACCCTCTCTTTATTAACGTCCAAATTGAATGTAAACGATTGCTCGCCGGGTTTGGAAATCCCATATTTTCCACAAAGCTACCAAAGTAACTTAACTAAAGTGTTGTGCATCACATATAATTCGAAAAAAGATGGTGCTTTCAGAATGTTATGGATTCCTCAAGTATGCGTTGATCTGCGTGAATCACATATTTTGGGTGAGTTCGCATAATGCATATTTTCAGTTTTATTTTAACATACACATTAACTATCGGCTATTGTAATATTACGTTCCACCGTAAGTAAATTATAATTGAATTAATTAAAAATGAAAATTAATTGATTATAAATGTAAGTATAAAAAAAATTTTTTATTTTAATTTAAAATTTTGGAGCTACTGTGTAGTACTTCAGAGTTGCTGACAAAATCATAAACATCAATTTTCTCATAGTTAAAACATATGAAAATGACAACAATAGAACTAATTATATTTAAAAAATATATTTTTTACCAATATATTTGTTATTTTTCTCTAGATTTAATGAGCAAACACTAAAAATCCATAGTGCTCAAATGATAAACGATTTTAAGTACTAAAATTGATCTTCTCTATTTTTTTTTTCTTCACTCAAAACACTTACTATTTCGACTTTTCAATTATCAATGAATAGGAAAAGGAAAATTTTTTGTATTTTTGTTTGAATCAATAATAATAAATGATACAGAACATGATATTTGACTCTCCAAATTGTCATCATTTTAATCACTGCAATCTGCGATTTTCCACTTTAAGATGCGCATAAAATTAACTGCGAATATGCTAATAGTTATAATTAACTGAATAATTGCTTCATCGTCGATTATTACATTTTTTTCTTTTAATTCAAGTAAATTTTATATAAATATATTTAACAATAAAATTTGTATACTTGATTCGCCACGACTTAGATATGCCTATAATTTTTGTAAAAAAATATGTCTGAGATAACTTCATTATATTTTGTGAATTTTGCAGTACTGCCCAATATTCATTCATATGGAATCCAAACATTTTGACATAACATTAATATGCGAGAAACATGTTCAAGCATATTTAAGTAAAAAAAAAGGATAAAATAATAAAGAAATAGTAGACTATTCGATGAAAGTTATATTTATAGCAGTTTGTATTAATCAATAAAATTATTGCATTTCGTTTAATGATAAAGGGTAACGTTATTCTGAAGGGGATGTAATTTACTGAGCGTGT